CTCTTTTTCCCTTGAACTGGTTTTGTCCCAAATGGGTTTTCCGATAAGGTTTTTAACGAGGCAACAGTAAATCATGCTAACTTAGAATTGAAGGTCGGCTATGAACCGATGTCGAAGATCACGACAACAGTATTCGAGGCTTCTTTATGATCGGCCTCGAACACTGGGGGGCATCACTCTCGGATAATGACTTTAGTAAGGAAAGAAACTTTGTGATCATATAGTTTCGGCTCAATCGATAGGATTTACTGTAAGGGCCAAACAGTCAAATGAACCGTTCCCACATAGATTGCTCGAGCCCTGACATAAAGCTTGTACACATGTGTAATCGTATATATTACGCACAGAAATAAAAATAAGTTTCTACCTTGCGGATAAATATCTTGTCCTTTAAAAACATTTCCTCTTAAGGAATTTCCTACATTCGACCCCCTAAAGATATTGAGCCCAAGGGACGCCTTTATCCGGGTTCAAAGGATCGCTCTCACTCAGGGACTGCCATCCAAAGACAAACTCGGATGGCCCGGACTATCAAAGCCCGGGGTCACAAGACCTACTAGGCAGCTCCCGAACCTTAAAGGTTACGGCCATCCCCATTCGGGGACTATTATCTTGGGCAAGTCCGGATAACTCGGGGTAACAAGACCACTAGGCAACACCCGGACTAAAAAGTCTACGGCCATACTAAAACGGCTCAGAGACGTCCGAGACCCGTAACAAAAAATAAGGTCTTCAAAATTTCTTAACCAGTTCAAAAGGCTACCCTCGACAAAATTATCATCTAAAAGGTTCTAAGTATTTGGGGAAAGCTTCCGTTCATACCGAGCCCCCACGAATCGTAAACAAAATAATATCGAAAGAAAGACATGTTCAAACCTCCGAACAAGACCTAATTATTACATGCTAAGGCATTTCGATATCTTTGCAGTCATAAAGAACAAAGCAAAAAGAAACAAGCTTAAAACTGTCGAAGGGAAGAAAGAGCCTTATATATATATATATATATATATGAAAATATCTTTAGAAAGGCCAAACTGCCTTGACAAAAAAAGGTACAAAAGTGCAAAATACAGAATCAAAGAAAAATATACAAAGTACTTAAACGACTTGGTCTCCATCGGAGCCCGCCTCGTCACCGGGACCATCAGAGTTTTCTCCGTCCTCGGATCCGCCCGATCCCTCGGAGTTTTTTTCATCCTCGGGGTACGCCAACTTCTTGGCCTCGGCCTCGAACCCCTTAGCGGTCGCGATCTCGGCTTACATATCAAAAACCCGAGCATGAACCTCCTCGAGGGCCTCCCTTCGGGACTGCCACTTCGTGTATTCCACCATGTCCCTTAAGCGGTCCTGGGCTGCCTCGACGTCGTCCTTATACTGGGCCACCATCTCGTCGGCATCAGTTTTGGTCACTTCAACCATCGACTTGGCCGTTTTGAGCTCCTTGGCAACAGTTTCTCGATCGGAGACGGCCGAGCTTAGCTGAGACTGGAGCTCCTCAATTTTGTGGGCCTGCACCTTGGCATTTTCCTTTGTCACCCGAAGCTGGACCTCTGCCGAGGTCAACTGTGCCCGGGCAGTCTCCTTTTTCGAGTCCAGGCGGTCCATCCTACCTCTCTATTCTTCGGCCTCGACCTTGACTGCATACATCTCGGCTCGGAGTTGGTCGATCTGATCGATCTTCTATTGGACCTGCGGGTTCCGACCATTATTCACGTGTCTAGCTTATCGTCACTAACTTCAATTAAGTCGGCGTGTTCTTTCCGAGCCATCCCAACTTAACTCGAAGGCTCTTAGACTCTCCTTCACGTTGCTCGCTGAGGAGTTTGTAGGTGTCTCTCTTCTCAGTGAGCCCTCGAACTTCGACTTCTAGCTGGTTCAGCTCGTGCTGATACCGAAGGAAATTTTCATGATGAAGCACAGAGGCCTACAAATACGAAGAAAAATGTTAGGATTATCTATGGATTAGTCTGAGAACAAAAGAAGAAATTGAAGTCATCGAGAGATATCTGAAGTTACCCGGTTCAGTGCTTGTTGTGCTTCGTTGAACAAGAAGGACGCGTCTACCTCATTCATCTTGGCTTGATCTTCCTCGGTCACTAGGCACCGAAGGTAATTGGCCACCCCTACGGGGGCGGAGAGGACCCGGGCATCCTTCGGAATAGAGATGATGATGGATCACTTCCGATCAGGATCCACACTCGGAGCTGGGAACTGGTTAATCAGTTTCGGGCTCAAGAAAGACCCGTTTGATCCTGAAGATGGACTCTTCTTCGGTACCTCTAAGTCATTCAATTCGGTGATGTCCTCCGTGGCGGTGGAATCCACGCCATCAAAAAAGCTATGAAAGGGGTCGTCCGCTCCACGGGGCCCCTCATTGGGATGCTCTTTCACCATTTTTGCCTCGCTATATATGGACTCAGTAAAGTATGGTGATTCGGTGATGTCTATCACACCGAGTGCTTCCTTTGGGGCACGGCCCGCATACCGGGAAGCCTCGACCCCAACCTCCTCATCGACCTCCTTAGCTTGAGGCAGGTCGGTCTCGAGGTTCTCTGGTTCGGAGGCCCCTTGCCCTTCGAGCTGCGATGACATGTGGGCCATCAAGACAAATTCTTCTTCTTCAGATTCGTCTCTCAGCTGGTAGAGCGAATCTGAAGGTGGTGCTCGGGTACTGGTGTTGTCTTTTGGCTTGCGCACCAGCCTTCTTATTATTATTTTTTTTTTCGAGCTTACGGAACTCAGAGCCCTCTTTATTTTCCTCTCTTCGGCCTGTCTCGGAGCAGGGGACTCGGTAGGTAAGTCCTTGCTACTGGATAGAGGCCTCAGTTCGACATCCTTAGATAAACCTGCAAAAAGAAGTAAAGAGAGCGAGGACTTAATGATAAAAGAGGAATCCAAATATTATTTACTCAGGAAAGGAGTCTCACCATGGTAACGGCCTCCCAACGACCCTTCGAGAGCTTGCTCCATGAGCTCTCGGAGTAGGGCATCTGTGATACGATACCCTCAACACACTTCTTGAGTCGAGGGACATCATTCGGGACTCGAGCGATGGTTGCACCGCCCCAAAACACCGATAAGAAAGAAGGAAAGAAGTATAAAATCGACTTTCAAAAATAAAATTGTACTTACATGATGTATTCCACTTATCGGGGAATGGCATGCGCACAGCTGGGATCAGGTCCGAAGTCCTCACTCGGACAAAATGGCCTTGCCAGCCCCGATCTCGGTCTTCATCAATACTCAAGAACGAAGCTTTGCTGGCCCGACGCACAAGCTTTATTGGTCCCACTCGGAAGATTCGGGGACTATACAAGCGTAGAAGATGGTCGACGGTGAATGAGCACCCATCGATATTTCTCACGAAGAACCGGAGGATGATCACAATCCTCTAGAGCGAAGGATGAATCTGACCGAGGCATACCTCATACCTCTTACAGAAATCTATGATGACCGGGTCCATCGGGCCCAATGTAAAGGGACAAGTGTAAACACTTTGGTATCCCTCGACATGGGTGGTAATGGATTCATCAGGGTCAGGGATCACTATACCCATATCGTCCTAGTTGCAGTCTTTTCGAACCATTGGGAGGACTTCTTCAGTGATCGAGCAGATGTATCTCGAGACCTCCTCACACCGGCCTTGTACGGAGGAAGGTTTTTCAACCTTGAAATTAGCGTTGACCGAGCATCCTCCAGGGATGAACATTTTCAAGGGGGTTCCGGTACTGGTTCATCGACTGTACACGAAATAGTCTTCTCGGCCTCAGTAGCCGGCCGCGAAGTAGAAGGGATTTCTTTCTGGGGAACGGTTTTGGAAGTCTTTGTCATTTCTTTAAAAATGGAGGAAAAATGGAGAAAGAAAGGAAGTTGAAGGATTGTACTTGTTGGCTTGAGATGAAGATAAACAAGAGTTCTTGCATAGGATCTCAGATAACCAGAGTGAAAGCACTAGAAAGTATTGAAATCTTAAGGATATGAGGATAGAAGGTTTGGATGTAAAGTTAAAATGAACAAAGGAAGAGGTATTTATAGTATTTTAGTGATGGTTCACATCCAGGAATGGCCGATCGGCGGCTAACATGCATTTAATGCCATCAATACTTGATTGACGAGACGTTTCAGTTTTTTTGTCGTTTATGTTACAATGTATCGAAGTAAGAATCGGAAGCTCATGTCGTTTCTCGTCGTCTACTCTCCGAAAAACGAGGGGACTATCTGTATACGGTCGAAATCAAGCTCGTGGTGCATCCTAACCTCCGACATGATAAGCAGGCTCGAGACATGACAATAAAGGACTGGAGATCGACCCCAAGTCTCATCGGGCTAGAACCTGGAGACAGGACGCCTGCCTTCGAGAATATCGAGGCCACAATCCCGGAATCGGTCCTAGCCCCAAACGACTTTGAAGAAACATCATCAACATAGACAACGGAAGACCGAAATATCCGTGACCGGCCGGATATTACGGCGAGAATCTCGGCACGTACCGATAAAGAACCGGCAATCAGTAAGTCAAAAGATTATTTACCCTTTATAAAATTGTACCTAAAGTAAGACTCCTATACTATATAAAGGGGGTCTGATAATTTATAAAGTACATTGTAACATACATTCCAATGCAATATATTATTATTTTCTCTGTTATTAGTTCTTTTACTTTCGTTCGTTAGTGCTTGTTGTTACGAGCCTGGACCGAGGAAAAATATTTCACGAAGGCTTAAATTGTCTTCCTCGTGTGGTTTGAACTTACTTCATTCTTATTTATTTAATTTGTCTTTATTTACTGATTTGTGTCAAATAAATTCACGTATTCTTAAAATCACTTATTAATTCAATTATTATTCGATTTTGAAGGTAAACAAATTTACATATATACTTTTAGATTTTAAATTTTTAAAAATAAAATAAATGAAAAAATGAAAAGAAAAGGCCAAAAAAGACAAAAATATACTAATAAGTATCGTGTTAAAGAAATGTCACGTCGCTCATCTAATCTTCTTTATTGGGGAAAAAGGTAGGCGCCAGCCCAATCGCAGACACACTACTACTGTGCCTAATGCTAATGCCGATACACTTCAAAACCAATAACTCCGTACATCAATAAAGCGAAATTAGTACACCATCTTTCCAATTAACACTCACCATTTTTCCAATTCAACCAGATCATGCTTCAGCACCAATCTTAGTAGTTTTTCCAAAAGCTTTTCTCCATTTGATAAACATCAATGTCTGAGGCTAATTCTGAAAATTGCCCTTCACTCCCCTCCAATTACGTCTCCATAGCCCAACTCCAAGAACGATGGCTCAAGGAGAAACAGAGAAAACAACAAGAAAAGGAAAAACAAGAAAAAGAAAAAGAAGAAAAGAAAAACCCACTAAACCCAGTTCCTCAAAATCATCAAAAACATAAAAATCTGCAAAATCGTGAAAATCACAGTGGAAAAGGTTGGCGTGAGGTTGGTTTGATTGCTAAAGAACCTAAGTCAAAGGAGGTCAAAATCACTGCTCCTGTGGTTGAAGAAAGTGTTGATGGAGGATCAAGGAAAAAATTTAAGAAGAAAAAGGGCTATTTTCGAAATGGCAAACCTAGGGTTGGAAGAGATGAAACAAATAATATGGCTAAAGTTTCAACTTCTGATGTGGCCAAGGAAGAAATCAGTATAGTAGAGAGTGTCGAAAATGGTGGAAAAGAATTATCTAAGGGTAAATATCAGCAGAATGGAAAATATAAGGAGGTCAAAGAAGTGGCTACTGTTTGCGTGGCGGAGGACGTAGGAAAAAACAAGGTAGATAAGGAACATGAGAAGAAAAAAGGCTATTCTGGTAAAAGGAAACCTGGGATTGATAGAGATATAACAGGAAATGTGGCTAAAGTTTCAACTATTAATGTGGCCAAGGAAGCAATCATGACAGTGGATAGTGTGGAAAATGGTGGAAGAGAATTATCTAAGGGTAAATATCAGTATAATGGAATAGGTAAGGAGATCAAAGAAGAGGCTACTATTTGCATGGTGGTGGAGGTAGGACAAAACAAGGTAGATAAGGATCATGAAAAGAAAAAGGGCTATTTTAGAAAAAGGGAAGAAAGAGATGGAAAAGGAGATATGGCTAAAGTTTCAAGAATTAGTTTGGTCAAGGAAGAAATCATGACAGTGGATAATGTGAAAAATGGTGGAAGAGAATTATCTAAGGGAAAATATAAGTGGAATGGTGAGTATAAGGAATTGAAAGAAGGGGCTACTGTTTGTATGGTGGAGGTGGTAGGTGAAAACAAGGAACATGAGAAGGATGAGGAAGACGTTTTAGTTGATGTGAAAGAAAGAAGTAACGAGAAGGTGAGAGTGAGAGGTGGTGCATTTCATGGATATGGTGATAAGAGGAGAGATGTATCCTTGATAGATAAGATTGAGAAAGATGTTGGGAATTTGTCATTGAGTGATAGGAGGAGGTATGGTGGTCACAGGAGGCCGAGTGTCGGGGTGTATAGTGGTGACAAGTGGAGATATGGGAGTACTTCCAGAAGGTATGAACCGCCAAAAATGTTGAAAAATGTGTGGGTTAAAAAGGGGGAGTCTTCAAATGGTAGTGTTGCTGAAACTGAAACTCAGGTTGCTAATTATGCTGGCCTTCCTTGGTTAAGTTCATACTACATGATTTTTTTTTTTTGATAAGTCGTCACTTAAATGTGTTTGTGTTCCTTTTATTATTAGTGAATGTGTTTCTAGTGATCCTCTGTTAAGCTGTGAGAATGAATGCCAAGAACAAAATAGAAAGAAAAGTAGGAAGTAGGAAGCTAGAAATAAAATGTATTGTTGTTTCCTTCCGTTTATAAGGAGCTTTGCACTAATACTAATTAAGAATATGGAGGAGGATGACTACTGCATACTGCTCTTCCAAAATTTCATTAGGCTGCATAATATGACATGTAAATTCGTGTTTAGTTTCGTCATAGGATTTTTGCCAGGATATGTAGTTGATAGAAAGGCTTATATTGAGACCCATAATGTAGCATGATATAAGAGGATTAAATTGTCTAACTAGTTTAAATTAAGGTATGATGTCTCTGCCTGATAATGAAGCACTACTGTTGAAGAATCTATTGTCCCTGTTCGTGTTGTTCTGCCTACTCCAAAATTGTGTTAGGAGTAATCAATTTGGGGTGAGTGTTTGAAGAGAGATGTTCTATTTTTTGCAAGATTACTGGAGTGTAAAATTTGCAATTGATTTAGTAGTTGGAACATATGTGTCACATACTAAATTGTGGACACAAGATTCACATCTAAGGCAAAAGTAAACATGCTACTATATTGATGCTAAAATCTGAAGCCTGATTGCTTGTTGAAAGATCACAAGTTGAAGTTGAACTTAAATTGCTTGTTGTCCTACTTTCTTTTCTTGGTAAGTATGATCTTTTTGATTGCTATTCCTTATTGCTAACGGGTGTTACCGGATTTTCTTTGGG